CTAACCACTTGCTGTCCTAATCCCCTCAATTCTTTCAATATCCATATATACATACACAGATATATGTACCCTGCATATAGTTCAGGGTGATCAGGGATCACTGAGAAACACAAATTTTGCTAGGATGACACAGTAACTCCTGATTGGTCCCCTGTTCCCCATGACTGAGAAGTTTCATTGAATATGATTGGCCACTGAATCAGAAGAAACACCCTCTATGGTTTATAAGAGCAGGGAAAATACTGAGAGATGTAAGGAAAAGAAGTTCTCAGAGAAAATAAAGAATAGATTTTGGAAGAGTAAGGGATGGGAAATTGTGGTAATTTTAGCAAAAATGGAAGCATTCCATGTTATTGTATGCTTCTTGAAATCAATGGAATAAAATCAAGCTTTTGAACTTCATAAGACCTTCATATTGAGAAAATAGGCAATCTCTCTCTCTCTAAAATGTGTCTTGCCCATCCCTGCTTCTGCATATTTGCTCCTATCACAGCTGGAATAATTTATCCCTAAAGTTGGTCTTACTCCCTCCATAAAGTGTGAAATGATCTCTGATCCTGTTAGAAGTAAGCTACCCCTTTCAGATTTCTTCTACTTTTTTGTTCTCAAGTGTTTTTATCTCATTCTCATTTGTATTTGTAATAATTTGTATACCTTTCTTATTCCTCTGACATAATAGAAGCTTCTTGAGGCTGGTGGCTTGGCAGTATACTTTTTTAAATAAAATACATGTTTAAAATATTGGCTTGCAGAAAAGGGGAACTTGACAGATGTTTATTGAAAAATATTTTTGATCCACTTGTCTTTGTAATGTCTTTGTCACATGTCCATTGAAAAATCATCTTTTCATATGTCCTTACTGAGAGCATTAGGTCCAGATAGCATGCCTGGAGAAGTAATTCATAAGTACATGAGGAAAGATGGATATATGAACTAAACACCATGAATCAGAATCCAGAGAGGTAATGCTGTCGCTGTATACAAACATGGCAAAGCAGACCTATCACATATGAGTATCCTTTGAGAGATAGTTTTCCAGTTAAGAATGGATTTATATTTCAGGAGGGATAGTCTATGTCTATAGATGTGTATGAAGAGCAGGAAAGCCAATTGAACTAAACCAGCAGGTCATTCTGAGGAAGAGAAAAGAAACATGTGTCATGCTGGTCAAAGACCCATCACCATCACCACCAAGATAGTCCTGGATTACCTCTCATCAGAACATGATAGTGACAGCCCAGAACCCTAAGCATAAGA